TATATATATATATAGGGTTAGGGTTAGGGTTAGTTAGAAATAGCTAAACGAGCCAGGTCAAACAGAGGTCAGGGAGACATAGACCTTATCTGCAGTACTAGTAGTACTAGTGCTGAGAGGGTCTATGCCCCCCAGGGTACTGCCGGAACGTACCCTGGTACTACTACTACTACTAGTATTAAATATTATAAGATTAAGAAATATACTTTTAATTACAACAGCTGTACTTATGTAGCCCTACCTTGTACATCGTGTAGCTGGGGCCATGATAGATGCATCATATATCACCTGTAGTACGTGTAGCTACCACTGCTAGCTGTACCATGTGGGGCATGTCATCTGTAGGTTGGCACGTGCAATTATGGATGGCGCGCACTCATTAGTGCCCCTATTTCAATTTAAGTATTGATGTAAAGTGTTGTTTGCATGATCAATAAACAGCTAAATTTTGCCAAGTCACAGTGTGTTAAGTTTGAGTTTGGTAGCCCGGCTAAATCCAACATCATTCTTTGCCAACAACAATTCTATGGAGGATGGTGGATTGGTGGGCAAGTAACCTGTGGTACTTTAAAAAAAGATATGTCAGTCAGTGTATTTTTTAACACATGTTAAAGTATAGCCTACCACACTGCATAGGTTGTGCTCCATACTATAGCATGCAGGGCATATAAGACTATGTGAGTAGAATTAAATGACACACCTTTGTTTTGTATATATTAATTACGTAAGATTAATCATATTTAATAGAAATATTATCAGTTATGCGCATTGGATTATGAAATACAAAATATACATCTGCATTTGTATGTGAAAACCATAGGCAGTTTTTCCCACTCGCCACATAACGATCCTGGCATCTCCACTGCCACTTCAATGACAACACTCTACGGCCATTGTTTGTTTAATTAAATATTTTTGCCTTTTTTATTTCATAAAAGAAAGTTCCAGAGGCCAGCAAAGCAGTTGAAAACGTAGCTCATTGCAGTGAAAAGAAGACCAAAGCTAAGAGAAGAAAAGAGAAAACAGAAGCAAGAGTACTTGAAAGGTTCGAAAAATCTTGGAAGCCAACAATTAATCCTTCATGCGTCACTATTGACTTGATACACTTTACAGGTCAAGCATAGAATTTAGATTTGGTTAATTTTAATTAACAATTTCACTATGCTAATAGAAATTGCATGTTATCATAACATCAAGAGCTAATAAACACCTAGACTTAGAGTGTACAATGGAAAAACAGTGCTATTTCACGGCAATATTATTCTACTTTGCCTGCGAGTCTAGAATAATTTTATGGTATTGCATTAAGCAGAATTCTTTGCTCTCTAAAACAAGACCAACCGCTTGTCAATACGATACTCCTAGGCTGAGATATTGGATGAGCTCGTAAACTTCCCCTCCCACAGGCCTCACGGCATCTCGCATCCACAATATTCACTATCCTTCTCGCCTTTTGCGGGTTTGGCTATCGTTTTCCGTCGCCGCTTGGAGCGCTGATAATTGATGTCACATGCCCAAATTTGGTACTCTTACTACACTATATATAGTAACTGAGCTGCGTTGTAGAGACTTAATTTAGAAAACATTGCCGGCTCCATCATGACGGGCATTAGCCGTGCTAGGAAAGATAATGGGAGATAAGGCCATAGAGGATGCCCCCGAAAGTCACCGATGTTACTTACCCAAAAAACTCCGTTCATTCATAAAGTTATCGCGGAAAAAACCGAACTTCCACGAAACGACTTTCCTAACCCACAAAAGTTGAGAAGGATAGTGAATATTGTGGATGCGAGGCGCCATGAGGCCTGTGGGAGGGGAAGTTTACGAGCCAATCAATATCAGCCTAGGAGTATTGTATTGACAAGTGATTGGTCTTGTTTTAAACTGTGTACGTCACGAATTTCGAGCACCAGCAAGTAGTATATTTGTGTGTTATTTGTACAAAATAAAATGTGTGAAAATACAATTAGTGTTTCTGTTTACTTTTCATGCTTATATACCTTCTTTATACCCCTAATTTGCCGGTGCATTCGATGTAAACAAACGCTCGACTTGAACACAACCGCCATTTTCGAAAGCTCTTGCGTAGCGCCCAGACGCAGCTAGCCGATAGGCGAACATTTGCGGGAAACTAGGCACTCGCGAAATTAATTCACAAATAACATTTCGCAGTTTTAATAATAATTTTTCAAACATAATACACATGAACATATATTATAAATTTTTCCTATATTCTATATTCTATATAGCTAACACGATTCAAAACAGAAACTGTTTGGGCACCACTTTGTGCACCATACACAAATCACGATGACATCGACCACAGCAACCAGTGCAGCAACCGAGAGACGCCAGTATCTGTACAGTACTAGGTAAATAGTGTTAATAACACTAATTCAATTCGTCAAGATTTTTTCAAATTTAACCAACGTAAAAACATTTTTTATCAGGTGAGAGTTTGAGGATATATTTAGTAACGTTAGTACTAACTTTTGATGTAAAAAAATTTCAAAAATAAGGTTTCAACTATAAATTTCAGGAGATTCGTGACGTAGACACTTTAGAGAGCAAAGAATTCTGCTTAATGCAATACCATAAGATTATTCTAGACTCACAGGCAAAGTAAAATAATATTGCTGTGAAATAGCACTGTTTTTCCGTTGTACACTCTACGTGTTTATTAGCTCTTGATAACATGTAACTAAATCCATACAGAAATGGTGGCATAACAAGTACCACGCTTCATTCATTTTAATACATAATAATAACACTTTTTGTAGATGGTGTAAATTCATTCTACTTTACTCAAAAAAAATTCAGAGAGCGGCTGGTACTTGGAGATCCAAGAGGAATAGAGCCTCCTGCCAAAAAATCAAAGGTGAAGGAATCCAACGAGAAGGAAGCAAATCTACCAGATCGTGTGCCGCATGTAGATAGCGATGATGATGGGCAGTCTCAGAACGAACCAAGAAAGAGAGGTGCAAAAGTGCATATCACTCCTAAACAGAAGGAGTTGCAAGAAGAGAAAAATTTGCGAACGCTTTTCATTGGAAATCTTCCAAAGGATACAAAAAAGGCAGTAAGGAGCTAAGCATGCATAAAGTACTTGTATCAACATGGTATATTGGGATAAATAGCAAAATTAATGTATGCAAAACAACCACAATATTTTACAACCATGTTAATTTAGTGAGATTGAAAGGAGACATGTTTTTATTTTTACATTTATTACGTTAGACACAGTTTAAATGGTCTGGATTTTTGTTTGTTATTGAAAACATCTATTTATTGAGTAAGGTGTAAGAGCACACAGTAGCGTTGTCAATCACATTATAGTTAGTTGCTATTAGGTATCTGTTATATACATATCTGTCATGTGATATACAGGTATTGGATATGTTTTCACTGTTGTTTCTTCCATTTTTGTTTAGGAACTGAAGAAGCTGTTTAAGCAGTATGGGCGCGTTGTGACGATAAGGTTCAGGTCATTGGCACCGTCTGATCCTAGCATGCCACTGAAGCTTGTTGCCATAAAGTAAGTTTATTGGCCTTGTAGGTAAGTTAACTTGACTATACTTACATTCTCCTGATATTTTTAAATATGAAATACTGGTGACTTTAAATATCTAAATGATATTAGAAATTATCTTTTATCGATTCATTTTTTACATTAGGTGAGTAGCGTAACTAACAGTCTTTGTAGATGAAACCAGTGATAGACTATGAGTGACTATATATACATACAGTGTCGGTTTCTTTCTTCATTCGAATAGGGGAGCACTGCATGAAAGCAGAAACACTGTCAATGCATATATAGAATTCAGCACAGCGGATGATGCAAGTAATGCCTTGGTACTGAATGGGACCATGTTTGGTAGCTGTTACATCAGGTGTGATCTGGCAGGCAGAGCAGGACAACATGACCATAAACACTCGATCTTTGTTGGAAACCTACCCTTTGGCAAGTATATAGACTTCATCCCTTGCAGTTGGGTATTTGAAGTACTGTTAAAATTTACATGTAACCCATGCAGTGTTTGTATGTATGCGTATTTCCTAACATCAACTGATATAGGTCTCCTCTTCTACCTAGATATAGAAGATGATGCATTGAGAGAGTTCTTTAAGGAGTGTGGAGACATTCAGGGGATTCGTGTTATTCGCGACAGAAAAACTAGCATTGGGAAAGGATTTGGTTACCTTCTTTTCAAGGTGAGAATTAAGTAGGTGTATGTTGAATTCTTCCGTTCAATTTGTCGTCTTGTGTGCAATCATCATAGATGGTTTCTCTTATATGATTCCACATAATGCTTGTCAAGTAAACTGGAGAACTGACAATGTTGTCGAAAAAATTTGGCACTGCTGATATTTGCTACTACGCAAACAATCAATTATCAGCTCAATCAAATAACTCTCACTTTCATTTTGGCATAGTATTGTGTACATTGTAATGATGTGCGTGTATGTGTTTGGTGAAATACGAAAGTCTGAATAGAGGACTCAATACGTAATCGATTTTTAGCTCATCTGACAAAGTCCGATGCAGCTTGTAGAATCGCATGATCGTCCGTCCGTGCGTGCGTGCGACCGTCAACAGTTGGGCACAAATCTAAACGGCTCGACGTACGGTCACGATATTCGGGACGTGGGGGGAGGCGGGGAGGGGTAATCACGAAAAAACGAGTTGGATGTCGAAGCTGGGGGTCAAATGTCAAAGGTCAAGAGGTGTAAGAAAGGGAACATTCCCTCCTTAACTTAAGTATCAGGGAGGAAATACAGAATTGCAGCACAAATCTAAACGGCTCGACCTAGGCTCGTGATAGTCGGTGTATAGCATCATGGTAGGAAAAGCCATCACTGTGCCGAAAATTGGAGGTCACTCGGTCAAGAGGTCAATGGGCACAGGGCAGATTTTAGACATGGTCTGACAGAGCGATTGAAAACCTTTTTGTTTCAGCGGACCTACCATTTTTATGGTTTATTGAAAGGACCATGAATTGTACTTTCCGTTGACATGCGAAGAGCCAAGTGTCGGATACCTTGACCTCAAAGGAGGGTTTTAACATGGATTTGTTTGACTGGTTAACCAAAGGACTGAACGCTTTTGCTATTCGTGGATGTGACGGCTACAGTTGCCACAGTTCAATTCGCAAAGGCAAATGTTTGTTGGACAAAGGTTTACCCTCCTTAAATCATAATTATTAGCTCCATCGTGACTAATCAGAATGCAGCTTGTAGAAATCGCATGGTCGTCCGTCGTCCCTCCGCCGTCACCGTCCGTGCTCGTCGTCCTCCGAGCGCTCCGTGTCGGATCCGTCAAAGTTCGGGCACAAATCTTAACGCGCCTCGACGTACGGTCACGATATTCGGGACGTGGGGGGTAATTCCGAAAACGAATTTGGGATCGCTCGAAGCTGGGGGTCAAAAGGTCAAAGGCAAGAGAGTGTAAAAGAAGGGGGAACGATTCACTCCTTTAACTTAAGGCTATAGGGAGGAAAATGCAGCATATGCCGGCAACAAATCAAAGACGGCTCGCCTAGGCTCGTGATAGTCGGTGTATAGCATCATGGTACGGAAAAAGCCATCACTGCTGCCGGAAATTGAGTCACAGGGTAAAAGGTCAAATGGGGCACAGGGCCAGATTTAGACGATGTTCTGAGGACATGGTTCTGCGGAGCGATTGAAAACTTTATTTGTTTTCAGCGCTGGACTAGCATTTTTTATGCTTTATTGAAAGGACCATGAAATATCTTTCCCACTGTAGAGCATCGCAAAGTAAGGTCCGGATATACTTTTGAGCCCTCAAGAGGAGCGGTTAAACATTGATTTGTTGACGTTAACGCAAAGGAACTGAACGGCTTTTGCTATATTGAGCCCAATACCTGTGTCAATGTTAGGCCTACACGTTGCCAAGCAGTTTAATCTGCAAAGGCAAATGTTTGGTTGAAACAAGTTTACGGCTACCGAAATCAATATGATTTCTAAAAGCAGTCTGTCATATAGCCACCTAGCCCCTGGGCCTGAAGGCTGAATGATGAATGTCAGTGAAATCGCTCGCATGAGGCAAAACACGCAGCCCATGGCATCGTGGCCACGCTTCTAATAATAACTTGTTGCCTTGCCAACTGCCAATGCTACCTAGTGTTAACTCAACAGCTGAGCAAAATTAATCGGCCGCCTGAATAACTTACTTGGTTTTAGCCTGTAACCTACTTGTAGGATTTTAAAAAACAGGAACCGATGCCATCTTTGATTATTGATGCTACACTTGCACGCGCGCATCGTCGTCGGCAACTAGATAGTCGCCTAGTTAAATTACGCATTTTATTCTCATGTAACTTTGTTAAACGACAATAAAATAAAACTAGTACCCATAATAATATATAATATTTTAACTTCATTCATCTTGAATCTTAAACATATATCATGTAAACTATGGCGTGGTATCCATTTACCCAGTTGTCCGCGAAACATAAAGCTGTTACCGAATATCGAAATATTAGAGACACAATATTATGATTTCTATGACTGTTAACACTCAGGGCATAGAGAAGAAAGAGTTATTGAGGGGGCCAGTAAAAGGCAATCACGCTGGTTTTAATTTTTTTTATATAATTAAGAGCAGAGAGAGAGAGAAAGTCTAAGATAAGAGAGTAAGAGTAGTAAATTGAGAACGCGGACAGGAAAACGGCTGAATACGGCCTGTGTATGCGAGCCGGAAACGGGTACGAATAGGCCGTCGCAGATGGGTGTGCAAGGGCATGGGAGAGGTGGAGGCCCGGCAGGGGGAGGCGAGGTCGAAACGCAGGGGAGGGAGAATGAAAGGTAAGGGGGTGGAAGTGAGAGGCAAGGGGTAGTGAACAGTGGGAGCAGAGGAGGGAGGTAAGGGACGCAGTGGAGGAGAGTGCGGAGAGAAGGACTCACCCGCCCCCTCTAATTAAACTTGGAGATCCCATGCTATATGTTGAAATCGCTTTTATAGATCAAATAAAAATAGATAGCTGTGAATCTATGACACCAAGTTCGAAAGTGAAAGGCAAGTATCATTAGATAAAATAAACCAAAAATCGCATGGAGGGGGAGATGAGTGAGCGGTTCTACGACAGCATGATGGTGGTAACACAACTGCGTATCTGCATACTGCGCCTAACAAATAGTGTCACTTACGCCACGATCTTGAAATTTTTACCGTTTATACTCGTTTAGCAAACAGGACCCCAGATTGAGCGCCAGTCGCTCTGCGGCGTCTTGTTTTCTAACAACGCCAGGCCTGTATTAGCATACCCTGTTTAGTCCACACCTGTTACCATGAACCCTGAATGCTCGCCGATGGGTAGGCAAAACATGGTGGCGCAAGCCCATTACGCATGGCATGCGGGGTGAACTGCACTATTCTTAGTCATACTAATTATTGCCCTGGCAAACCCTGCAATGCCAGATGTGTTAACTCACAGCTGAGCGAAAATTCTCGCGCCTGCCTGAATATACTGCGGATTCTCAAACTCATGGCAGTGAGGTATATCACCACGAAGGGTGATATGCCCATCTTTGACTTATGATGACATAGCTGCACGCGCCATCTCGCCAAGCAACTGCTTTCTGCCTACTTAGAGCCCCCTCCCGCCACTCTCCCCCCCACCACCAACGCACTACGCCTCGCCGCCTCGACGAGCACGCATATCCATGATAACATGTTAATATAGCGAAGTCATTAAAGTTACACAGCTGTATCTTTATTACTGTACTACCGGTATAGCAAAGCCTAGCTATCATCGATTTTAGATCTGTATTAGTAGTATCCTAGATATATGCTCTGAGCGCGAACGCGGTGGCGGGAGGGCGCACTTGATTCGGTTGCCAGTGAGTTTATCAGAAGAATACCCGGCTACAGTACACGTCAGTTGAGCACTGTCGCTCTGCGGCACTTGTTATATATTGCTGTATCTGATGCATTTAATTGAAGCTTCATCTCGTTTTGTGTCGATAGTATAATCACAATTAATTTTATTGTTTTACAGAGTATGGACAGTGTGACACTAGCATTAAAACTGAATGGGAGTCAGCTAGATGGAAGGGAATTGCGTATAAGCCGTTCAGTGAAGAAGTCCAAACCAATATCCTTTTCTGCAGTTAGAATTTAAACGTGTAACCAAATCGTCGCAGTATACTCCTTTATATTCTGTATCAGCATTTCCAACCTGAGCTCTTAGTAATTTTTTTGCTTAAGTAGAACATGAAAAACTTGCTCCTTCACGCTATACCACAATGCCAACCGGGTCCAGCCACAGCAAACCGGCAGGTTAGCCAAGAAAGTGAAGGCAGGACATCATGAGGACCAGAAGCAATCATCACAAAGTGTTGGTCAGAAGGCGAAAAGGTTTAAGAAACAGCGTTCATTCGCAACGAATGCAGCGACTACTGTTGCTGCATTCACCGAGAATCAGAGTAAGGTTAAGAGGAAACTGAAAAAGAAGCAGCCAAGAAAGACTGTGAGGTCAACAGCATTTCGAATGTCTGGCAAGAAACAACCATCTAAAGCAGGAAAACAAAAGCATCAAAAGAAATCTAGCAAACACACTTGAATAGGGGTCCACACTCGTCAGATGCAGATATAACAACGTAGTGTCACTTTCCTCATTGTGTGGGTCTGATGACTTACGAGTAACTGTTGATGGCCACTGTCATATTCAAGATCAACCTATCTGACTAAGATTCTGCTGACTGTGGGGAAGTTTGTGAAGCAACCAAACAGGCTTTCTGGTAATCAGTGTAATTTGCTTGGTGGCGGTCTCCTAGTTGTTGGTAGAACGACATTTCCAACTTTCTCAATTATACCCACCAATAACTGAATAAGCAATTTTTGATATTTGAATCGCAAGAATAAGCAATGAAACCTATTCGGGTCTGTAAGTCAACACTGGAAACTGAAGGGGTCTGTCACAATTTGCACTGTGATGCCATGTATTGTAAGAGCAGTGAGGTTATAAATAGATAATCTAACTTTGTTGACAGCGGGCTATAACATCAAACACAGTTTCCCTGATAACTGTCTGCATACAAATAATTAACTTTCACCTTTCTATGTGACCAGATTTTATCTTCACTTTATTATCGACTTCATTGCTAGTATTTTTGTGTGACTTTATTTCCTAGAGTTTCTCCTGTTTCTAGATACAAGTGAGCAATGTGAACGTACACTCATCTAGCACTAATATATAAAATGGGTTGTGTTAAGTATGTTGAGTTGAATTGACATTAACCTGCCAATACTGGTTGGAAGACTGGTTAGCTTTCAGCGTTTCATTCCTGCCGCCAATTCGACAGACTAGCAGCTAGCTGTCAAACATTAAAACGTGTGGTACAGTTTCTGCAGATATTGCTCTCACTTAAACAGCATAGAAACAAAGTGTTGTTAACATCCAGAATTCAGGCCAACATTAGAATTGTTCTGCAAATATTTTAATATTAGTAACTGACAAGAATATAATGTCCTTGTGACTTCTAAATAAAAATGGTGTTGTATATGTTGAGACAGCAGTAGAAGTACCTAAGTTGGGTTCATCTTGTAAATTATGGAACGACTGTTCACACGTCAGGCGATATTCATCATACATAATGTAAAAACAACATTATATACTATATCTAAACACAAATCAAGGCAAGGAAAGAGCCTACGACTGCATTGTGCATATACAGATTTCAAATTCTATAGATCTCCCTAGGAATTTTAATTATGATAATTTTAGCACAGCCTGTAATTTTAGTAGCCTACGCATGTAAAGATTTATCTTCAAGTAGACAAAACTCAATTTTAACAATTGTTTTGTTCAAAAATTAGAACGCCACACATTTAATTCCCATTACATCGTGAAATAAATAAACTGCTTAAGAGTTAAAGTTCATAACAATATAGATTAAGTACTGATAATGACATGAGAAAGAAGGGTAGATGTCTTCTGTAAACTTACACACAAAGTACGTTATATAGGGGAGGGGAACCAGAAATCCATGTCATCTGAATAAAACGGCAGCAGCATATAGTTAACAACCTTGCATAACACACTTATTACTTTGATACTCTACCTGGTAACAGTATCTATGTCAAGGATTATCAGCATGATTAAACAGCAATACCATTTTGCATATTAATATTGCAAATACAGTCAATCGATGGCTCTTTACCCCTCTTAGAGCCTGAATGAAACTGTCTTGACTACACACTTGGAACGGAATTCGTGCTGTGATTCTAATGATGTAACATTGCCAATTGACTGCAGCACGTGTTTGCCATAATTGACAAACTTCTTTAAGTTAAATAGAATTTAAAGGAACCTTCCCACTTTAATTGTGCAGTCAAGCACCAAACCTGAATGCATGCTAGCATCATTTTTATAGTTATAGACACTAAAGATTTTGAGGCTTGTAAAATTTTTAATGTTTACACTTCCTTTATTGATCATTATTTACTTTTTATTATTCAAACTCATTACTTTAGAAACAAATATGTTAATGTAAGTATACACAGATTAACAGCATATGTTGTGTATAGAAGAAAGCTCTCTGAGGCTAGATATGGTTCTACAAGTTTGTGTGCCAACATAGTATAAACGAAGTTGTGGAAATCATAACAGAGACCCAAATCCCATCCTTGCCTTGATTGCTTGGAAGTAGTACCTGAAATAGAAAACAAGTATTAAACATGCTACATTACGAAATAACATAGCATCTATACCATGAACATTTGCACACATCTTTAGAGGGTTTGACTTATTTACATTTCTTAAGCATCAAAAGTTAGTCATGCTTTAGAGTAAATGCATAGACAGAGGTGCAGCCCGGCTGTTGATGTTTTGAGTTCAAGTACTTTTGTCCTGGCATAACAAAAACCCTACTTTCAAGATCTACAATTCTAAACTCAGACGATACTGACACAAATAACTGTTTGCTGCAACCCGACTGATCTGGCAAAAATGTTACCAACTGAAACATTTATTGTTTATTTACCGTTTTTGCAATGTGTTGCACAAACACTTTATTGCTTAAGGATACTGTTAGGGTTACGGACCGGTAACACTGTAAAGGGCGTTGCAACATAACTACTAATCAAATTCAATCAAACTCATATCCATTACATGCGAGAGATGTCTCTCTACGCTCTCGATGAAATTTTCTTTTTTAATTCGTCGCTAATTAATTCACGGCAAAAATTGTGAATTTATACAAAAACATGTTTTTTTTTGCTATTTTTCAGAAACAGCAAAGCATTTGAGACCTAAACTTTTAACCATAAGTTGTTCATAATATCATAAGTAGATATACTAGGGAAGGAGTGTGACTTAGGGGAGGAGATAAACATGGGAAATTCGTCATTTACTAGCCTTAGAATACCTACGATTTACTGCGCGTAACTCAACCAACTTGAGCTCAAATCGTACACAGTACATTCGCCTAGCATCGTGCGAAATCGTTTCTTCGTATACACCCGCAATCCGGAGATACAGACTAAAACGTACGACACGATTCTCCATTCTGTTGCCAGCAAACCGAATGTATAACCCGCCTAACTTGAAACAAAAGGCAGCTAACGACTCTTGCGCACTCTTGTGCCTTCGGCGATGCGGTGTGGCTCGCTGGGAGATTGGAGCTGCTGCTGATTGCTGTGGGCATGCGAGCGTGGGGGGCATACCAGCTGTAAATAGGTCAAAGATTAGCTCGCCGAGTGTTGCGTCGATGTCCAACCTCCCAGCGAGCCACACCGCATCGCCGAGGGCACAAGAGTCGTTAGTAGCTGCCTATTGTTTCAAGTTAGGCGGGTTATGGATTCGGTTTGCTGTCAACAGAATGGAGAATCGTGTCGTACGTTTTAGTCTGTATCTCCGGATTGCGGGTGTATACGAGGAAACGATTTCGCACGATGCTAGGCGAATGTACTGTGTACGGTTTGAGCTCAAGTTGGTTGAGTTACGCGTAGTAAATCGTAGCTATTCTAAGGCTAGTAAATGACGAATTTCCCTTGTTTATTGAAGTCACACTCCTTCCCTATTATCCTGATTATATACTTCTGATAATATGAACTAGAAAAGGGTCCCTGGAAATTTTTTTAAATGCTTTAATTAAGGAAATAAGTTGAAAAGATGTACAAAGATTTGTAGTGAATTTCTAAACGCAACAATTTCGTAAACAAAGAGCCATAACTCATAAAATTCCAGGGACCATTTTTCCTTTGATATGTTAGCATTGAAACGTAACAAAAGATTTTGGAATCGGAGTTGCGAGTTTCGAGAAATGGCGCTTGAAAAATCACCTACTTTACCATTTTTAACAACCGAGATATCAGCACTTTTCTAAATTTCCCATCATTGATTGCCAGTGTTAAGAATTGACTAATGCGGGGATTGGGAACTGTTTGGGAGGCTACATACATAATTTCTACGTATACATAGCTGCCCATGGCTGCGATCTATCAAATAAGTCCAACAAGACCTTGCTTTACGTACCTTAGGATAAAAAAATTCTCTTCAATGAAATTTGTTTCGCAATCTACCAAAACCCTCTCACGTATATTATTACAGGGGTTACGGCAACCAGCCAGCTTTTTCAAGCAAACCGATTAATTGCCTTACCTCTTCCAGCCATCATTTGTCTTATCATATTGATCAGCGGGTATCGAAGTCTGTGAAACATCCATTATGGTGCCGTCATTTGTCTCCCGGATGTTGATAGTGACCATGGAGGTATGGCCCGCTGGCCAATCTTTGAACCTCCAGCGCTGTATAATTTGACTTCCGGGTCGCTATGTTAAACATGCACGAAATTTCATCACTGTCCATTCTCCTTGCCAACATCATATCAATGTCTGACAAACACGAACATTACAGTTGTCCATGCAAAAATCTATGTGCAGTACTAAGAGGAAATCTTACCAAGTCTAAAAAGGTGCCTTCGACATTTCCGCTAAACATGGAAAACTTCCCTCCACTCTGTCCATCAATTTCAGCAGGACTGCCTGTCCAGGCCCTCACTTGCTATAATGGTAAATAAAGCAATGTTATTATGTATGAACACTTCACACAGCATTTGTTAGATATATCATGTACCAGGATTAGTTTTACTGGATATAATATAGCCACACAAAAGCACAACCTGTTAAACTGCAATGCAACACAAAGAAATGATCTCATTGCCGATCTATTGATTATACATCAACCAAGTTTCTACTCTAAATTTATTAACACTTTTATTTGCTGCAAAAGCAAACTTTACATTTATATTAAAGAATACCTCATGTGTAAACAAAATCATTAAGGCGACTAAGACTATATAATATGGTTTTACATGAAAGCATCTTTGGCAGTGTTCAGTGAACAATGCAATACCTCTGGGACGACTAGTGCAGCATAAAGTTCGTCAGCAGTGCACTTGAAGGTCTCGCTAAGAGTGACTCTTGTCTTGCTGAATTGTTCTGTTGACTTTGAATGTAGATTCTTCAGCTTCTCCTTCGTCTCTCTCACTCGCTGCATATAAGATATAAATGTAGATAACAAAGACTATTTCCGATTCAGGATGCAACTGAATTCTTATATGACAATGCAAGGGTTGCCTTGAGTTGACATTTTGCAGAACCACAGCAAGGTTCGGAGGGGGCATCAAGACACGTTTTCTTCAAAGACATGTTATCAAGGAAACTTAACTTTGTAACACTTTGTATGTGGGACTAAAACGAATCTAAACACACACTTAAACTATGAGAAGGGTATGATAGCAAACTAGGTAGAACAGCCATAACAGTATTTCTGTAGACATCTTCTAAATTTGAGGGGCACCACAGCACTTGCTGAAAGTCCTTTGGTGAATTTTGAACCCTAGTAATAGAAATTCACTTTTGCGCTGTCTTCCGATATCAAGTTGATATGAACAATTAACAATATTTTTTCAATTGCCGTAGCTTTAAATATATTCTGAAGAAGCAAGATTAATTACCTTAGTCTGTTCATCCTCCTCCTCAGGCTTCTTTGCTCCACTGACTATCGTCCTACCTCCACCCTTCACCTCCAATGCTGGCAACTTGCCATCTTTCGAGGGCAAAAGTAAGCCTTTGCTATACTCTTCGCAAAAAGGATAAAAGAGATAACCCTTATTGATTACACCATAGACTATAGTTGTTGAACTTGTCACCTAGCAGCTAACATTCTTTTATATTCTTCAAGCACATGAGATTTACATATTTATAACAGAATGGTTTCATAACAGTACACCCGAATCATCAGTGTGACAAGCATACATTCCAAGTTATGTAACTGTAGATTGATGCTCTTTCACTAGCAAAATATTCCCCTTGATCTCGCTACACCCACCTATTTGAAGGTCAGAAATATATATGGCGATCTTGGTTCTCACTTCCTTAACGCCAGCAACTCTGAGAAACTCCTTCACCATGTAACCTTCATCATCTTCTACTGATAGTGAAACATCAACCTGCCAAATGACGTAGAGTGTTTCAATACTGCATGCAGCGCCCCTTCGTACAACTCAGGATACCACCACAGACTAACGGATACACAGACTGCACGAAACGCCAAAAAAGTGTAATGCAATTGAATGGTGGCGCCGCCCAGCGAATGAAGCGGTACACTAAAAATCTGGCTGTGGTGACAGACCGTGGATGTGTAACGTTGTAACATTAAAACGTCTCTATCTTTAATTCTAATATTTGGACTGGAGTTTAATTATACATTCCTGAATCTAGAAGGTCAAATGTTAGTCTTCAAGTAGATTTTGCTCTATTAAACGGCTATACATTTATTTTTCTAACAAAATTAGTCTTAACATTAACTTTCCCTCGTAAATCAAACGTTTCAGATATTTCCTTAGCGAGTTTTAGCAGAACTGTTGTATGAATATAATGATTTTATCATTTTAGCACCTGATTGAGTGGCAAATAACAAAGCATACGTAATAATAATTTTTCGTGAACACATCTGCACTGACCAAGATGACACTCACATGACAGTGGCCATTGGCAAAAATAGTGTAGTTGGACTATTAAGCACCTTGTTCTTTTTTACTGATCCTAAAGTATTTGCTTTGGTTACTACCAAAAATTTTATAGCCCTTCAGGGGCTGAAAATAGTGGTTTTTGCTCGGAGCTCCGGGACCTTTCAGCAAGGTCCAATGAATGATTTGGAAGGTCCGAATATGAAGTTTCTGACACATGTATTATTATACACATCCGGTATGCTGAAACAGCGTGCGCATCTGCGTTAACTTCCGTTATAAACAACCATGCTACTAACGTTGCAGCATACACTATCAGTATCAGTACGTGTAATTTCGATCAGATTTTCGGTAAATTTGACTCTTATACTTGGTATGTTCCATTGTGAATATTAAATATGATACTAGATGTCGACAGTGACCAAAAATCGATCTACTTTCACTTTATTTCTTCGCAATTTGCAATGGTTTAATCATGTTTTATTTGATGAGTATAGTACTGTAAATTATTGATAGGTCCGACGGACTTTCTGCTTGGAAATTGCGAAGGTCCGAGCGTGAAATTAGCAGGTCCGGGACCTCGGACTTGCCCTATTTTCAGCCTCTGACGTTATGTTATGTAGCACAATCATCTTAAAATGTACGTACATCTACTTCTTCTGGGTCATGATGCTCCTCACTTAGGTTAGGTATTGTAATTGTCCCTTTGCACACTTTTTGTGTCTTTCTTAACCATCCTATAAAAATGTTACATATTAATGTACTTACAATGTACTTATAATGTACTTACAATGTCATGTAATTACATGTAAAAGCCACAATGATGTGATCAGTGACCACTGATCAATAATAAATATGCACCATACTAAAGGTAACAAAGCCATACCTTCCCATTCCAATTTGATCTCCCACTCATAGAAAAATATTAGTTTTCCCTTTCTATTGTTAGCGAATGCTTCTCCAGTAATATCGTCAATGGATTTGATGATTACTTTGTCTGCAATGTCAAGTTTTTTATCACTAATTTAAATGAGTCGATCCTTTTGGAGTATGGCCTGACATGCTGTCTGAGGTGTGAAATAGCCGTATAATTTAACACTAACATAGACCTTATCACAATGGCAAGGAGGAATAATTTAAAAAAGAGGGGAGGGGTGGAGAGATTACTATAAATGTTTAATTATATGTATGAGAAAACACCTGACACATGGTTATTAGTCGTTTTAATGATATAGATGAGCAGTTTTCACAATTGAGGTGTCTACATACCCGATTGCATCTGAATACCACATGAATCTGATTGGTACAACTGGATGAATAAATTGGGCATTTGGTACTATAGAGGGGAATAGGTTTAATAATTCCACCATCCACATAGTCACCATTGTAATTAAAGGGATCCTTTACTCTAGGTTATAGGGTTATTTTCAGTTAATTTAGGTTAAAATTAGGCTACATAAAAAGTTTCATGGTTCAATCACCATTAGAAATATTTTTTTATGTTTTAAAGCTAACTACTACAGTTTGATTACAACGACGGTGGCGCCACTTAAAGCGCACGATCTGATAAGTTGCGCAAAACAACTTTTCAGCCAAGGGCTACAGACCGAGGGTGTTTCTTATTTATTAATTTAAAAGCAAAAGGATTGTAATATCTTATAAACGACATATAGTTTCAGTTATATTATGGATAAATTTGTCCTAAAATGAACATCGTTCGGTTAAACAGCATTTAGAATATAATTGCACTTTTGTGATTAGCCCTCGGTCTGTATTATGTGCAAAATACATTGGGAAATGCGCAACTTTTTTGGGGTGGCAGCACGGTCGCGGGTGTCAATGGCGCCGTTCAAATTTCGTAGTGTTGATGTATAATTAATTATAACAATTAAATTAGGTATCTGGTAACAAGTACGTGTGGGTATAGACGATTTGTTATACAGTAAGTACAGTTGTATGCAGTAAAATCCTAGAGGCTACTGTCCCTTTAAATTAGGTATCTGGTAACAAGTACGTGTGGGTATAGACGATTTGTTATACAGTAAGTACAGTTGTATGCAGTAAAATCCTAGAGGCTAGTAATAAGTAGTATCCCTTTAAAAGGGTTAATGCATAATTATTCAGAGAAACAACACGTGGTTATGAATACATTTGGAGATTGGACTTTTACTATAAACTTTTGTTGAAATAGAGGTCAGAAAGCTGTATAATTGCCTATTGGATAGAGGAAGTGTACTCAACAGAACTAGTTGCATTAGTAATGCACACACATCTTTCTAAATAGTATTTAAACTATAATCAACAACTCACATGCATCATCCTGTATTTCCATATCTGTAAACAACGATGTTATTTTGTCTTTTGACCAGGCAGTGGCATTCTTTTCCGTCCTATAATTTGTAAACAATGGCATGTGAAAGATCAAACTTGTGAAAAGTTACACCAATCATCACGATATCAATATCATTATTTTACTAACACCAAACTAGCACTACACTTGACTTCTAAATAAATCCATTTACAGTTACCATAATAAGACATCTATATATATATAGCTAGCCTGCATGGTAGTGCCAGTGGTTCAACCAGCGAACAATTCCAAATAATAATTAATAGCAATATTGTTAATGTTACCAATATTATAACACACCACTACTAGTAGTACATACTGGTTGTACTAGTAGTAGTATTACTAGTATACTACTACTACTATCAGGAGTGAATAATAATAGATGAGTACGACTCGCTCGAAACACAAGAAACTCAACATTTCCATGCCCAAATTTATCTACGATTTATATAATATTACACAAAACCAAACAAACCTGACGTCATGCATGCAGAACTAGTGCTGTACATCTAAATTGCCCTCACACTTTACTGTGTATGGATATCTATTCTAATTATGTAGTTACAACTTCAAACGTCAGACATGGTTTTAGTCATTGACACTAGTGCTGTGCGTCGGATCCGATAATCCGAATCCAATCCGATCCGAATCCGATCGGATTCGGATCGGATTTACAATTTTTAAAGAATCGGATTCGGATTCGGATTCGGATTCAAAATTGTCGTCGGATTCGGATTC